ATCATTTCATGAACAATGCAACTTCAGTCAGTTTTTTGCTACATGCAGAAAAAATCCCAGATTTCCTGATAGAAAAAGATCTGCTATAATTGGATTGTCTGTACTAGATATTACAATGTTTAAGGTAAAAAAATGTATTTTAGAAAATCTGCTCATACAAGTTGACACAGGGGGTCTTTCTGCTTATACCCATATTCAATCATACCCCTAATCCACATTGGTTATTGAGATACATATCGATGGAAAAATCATGCCATTGTTTGCCGCGCGCGGATTGCAAAACGAGTGTAGTAAGCAGAGAATCAAGAAATAAAAAAAGTAGGTCCAAGATTAGAACATAGTTTTCATGTGTTATACTTATACTTAGCTCATTTGGAGGTCGAAACAGGTTGTGAAAAATATCAGAGGGATGATTGGAGCCCTTGTATATGTGAGAAGTAATTAACCAAAAGAAAATCAAACAGGAACCAAACAGGAACGTTTTTTCGCATTTCTAGTAACTCCGTCTCGAGAGAGGAAATGTATAATATATTCAGGGACCACCTTAACCTCGTGAGCACGTCTCTATGGTAGAATCCTGAATAGTGGTCCTTATATCCTCCATTCCCGGTTATTGATATCGCCGAGTCCACCACGGAGGTATTTACTCTGAAGAATATTTCAAGTCCATTCAACGATATAAAAGTAACAGAGACGATATATAACCGCCGTTGTCATCGAGCTCCGCCCGGTACGGTAGAAATTGACGACTTACTGGAATGACATTGAGACCCCATTGGACAAGTACTGGAAGATTACTTACGAAGCTATCAAATGAGGAGTTCTATTAGGGGAACATTGTCAACGTCAAGAGGAAAGAAGGAGGCTTCGGTTTGGTGCTAACGCTCGATCTATCAATGTATCATATAGGAGTAAAGTACTTGAAGTTTTTTTGATTGAGCCGACGGATTAATCACCGCTCTTGAGGCAGGCTTGCGGCGCCTGCTGAAAATTTTTTTGGGATGATTTATGCAGGTTTCCCTGGCTTTCCCTGGTCACCCCACGTTGGGTCTCGTTAGGTACGTTACCGTACCATATGAACCCGAGTGAGAGAGGACGTAAATACACCTTGACACCACAAAATTCAATCATTCATTCAAGCTCAAGTCTTCTGTGTTGTATCCTTGGTCACGGGTCCCCACGAGTTCCTGAACATACCGGTTCGACACGGAACTTGGGTAAAGTCTTGTAGCACTTGAATTACATCCTTCTGCTGGAAAGAAAAAAAAGAAAATAACGAAATCATTAATCAATGTGCCGAGATGGGTCAAACACTGGATGACTTCCCGTAAGAGTGTTCTAAACTGAGTGCACATAATCCTGCACTAAAACCTGAATGCGATCAGGCGGAAGGATGCTAAGCGAAATTAGCCGAGGTTTTGTGCAGCATTTGTGGTTTGGAAAGGCCTCTGGACCCCTTTCTAAACTGTGAACAGCGCAAAAATCAAATTTCGCTTGTTCGGCAAACAGCTCATTTAGGATTATTTTCGTGCAGGTGTGTCCTAAACTCTTACGGGAAGTCATCCACTTGTACTCGGTCAGCTGAAGCATTTTACGATCTTTGGATCAACGCCGAGAGTCTAAAACGGTTTTGTCCAAACATTTGAAATGATGTTTGATTTGATGGAATACGGCTGATTGTATAGCATGACGTCCCAAGCCCAAGCCCCAGAAATGGAAGTGTGTTCTATTAACATAATTTTTCGGCAGCTTGTAGCTTGCTGTGTGCTATGAATATCCTTCCTGTCTTCATTGGTGCATTTTTTTGGTGTTGTGGAGTCAAATTATGAGTGTTTTGGAGAGAATCCAGTGCTGCTTGAAGTATAGATAAATGTACTCCAAGACGAGCATAAAAAAAACCGAGTTATTAACAGAACAACTGTATGTGAGGTGTTGTTGATTGGGTAGAGATTCTCGTTCAAGTCGGAGGCACTGCAAAGGCGAGGAGCCGTAGCGTAAATAACGGATGCACGTGGAAGATCACGATCGTGGCGAGCTTCTCTCAAGCCGGAGGTATAAAAATGCCCAGTCCATCCTTACTCGAATCCCCTCCTCAACATCCACCATGCCTCCCTCTCTGTTTCGCCTCGTTGCGGCCGCCATTTGTGCCGTGTCATTGGTCCTCGCTGATGATCCCATTAACCCGGGCTTTCCCTATGGCAGCCAGAAGGTTCGCGGAGTCAATCTTGGAGGATGGCTCGTGCTTGAGGTGTGTCTCTTTTCTATCATCTCGCCTTTTCGTCTTTGACTCATTACACAACTCACCAGCCATGGATTACACCGTCTTTGTTCGACAACACCGGTACATAACTCCAACGTTCATTACGCTCTCGATCGGTGACTAACCGAAAATTCACTACACAGGCAACCCTCAAATCATTGACGAGTGGACTTTTGGCCAATTTCAAGACCGCGGTACTGCATTAGCTGCTCTCCAGAATCACTGGAACACTTTCATCACCGAGGGTGATTTTGCTGCTATCGCCGCCGCTGGGTACGTCGCGTCCAATCTCCGACTAACTAGTGTACGGAACTAATTACAAAAACGCTTTTATTCCTAATATTAGACTCAACCACGTCCGACTCCCAATCGGATATTGGGCGTTTGATGTTTCTCGTGGTGAACCCTTCATCCAAGGTCAACTCCCGTTCTTGAACAATGCAGTGACATGGGCGAGAAACCATGGGTTGAAACTCATTGTCGATCTACACGGTGCGTTAGTGCTCTTCTCGGCTCATTCGGATAGAATTCTCAACTCATTTCAAATACGTAAATAGGTGCTCCTGGCAGTCAGAATGGGTGCGTTTCTCCATACGCTTCCGTACGATCCATCCCGTGTTAATCTGATGACCATACCTCCTGCTATGAATAGCTTTGATAATTCTGGTCAAAAGAAAAGTTTCCCGTCAGTCTTTGTTCTTTCATGACGTGATAAATCTTTGTTACTGATGAATCTCTGACTGATCTCACTACTTCTGTGTACAGAGAATGGCAAACAAGTCAAGACAACATCGACAGGACGAACAACATCATCAAGCAACTCGCAACAATGTTCAGGGATCAGTCTGATGTTGTTACAGCTATTGCACCTCTCAACGAGTGAGCTTTCTCCGGAGTTTTGCCTGATCTTTTTTTTGCTGACAGCCTTCATCTCTTTTTAGACCTGCGGGCTTTGACGGGGATCAAATCTTGAGTGTAACACAGCAGGTCAGTGCAGTTGTTGGTCCGAACTGAACTTCTCGAAGGCGTTCTAAATGTCTAAAACCATATGCATATCTAGTATTGGTTTGACAGTTACGGAAACATTCGGTACGTACTTCCATATGATCCCGTTCAAAACTGAGAAGAAACCCGTTCTAATCTGACATTACTTCTTTCCCCTTTACTTCGTTCTTTTCTTCTTTCATTCCGGTCCTTTCGATCCTTTGGTAATAGTTTCCCCTTCGGATCGTCACAGCAAGGGAACAACGTCGTCCTCATCCATGATGCATTCCAGTCATTGAGTTTCTGGTCTGATTTCATGCCCGCTCCTCAATGGCAAGGCGTGGCCATGGATACCCATATTTATCAAATGTTCTCCGATGATGTGAGTTCTTTGTCACTTTTTTTTTGTCTACTCCAGTCTATTCTTTTCTTCCTTCTCCTCTTCGAAGGAGACTCCCTCGAACCCCGCATGGGAAAAGTCTGGGGTCTTTACCTCCGATCAAAAAAACACATGCACCCGTGTTCATGTTTTTTTTTATCCAAGCTGTTCTTCTCAACGCTAACACTGACACTTTTTTTTACGCTTTCTTCATATAGGAAGTCGCCAGGTCTAATCAAGACCACATCAATAACGCCTGCTCTCGCGCGGGAGACTTGTCTTCCTTCCATCTCTGGTTGATTGTTGGTGAATGGACGCCCGCCCAGACGGACTGTGCCAAGTACCTGAATGGACGAGGTGTCGGATCTCGCTTTGATGTAAGCTGCTTCTTTTCCTCCATCCCCACCCCTTATTTTTAACTCTCATACATCTTTGATCGTCACATCAATCACTAATCTTTTTTTCTCTTTCGTTCACGTCCCTTATTTCTCACCTCCACCAAAAAAAAAAACTTCATCCGCCTAAAAAAAACTCTATACTGAAAAAATTCAAACTAACCCATACAAAATACAAAAAACACAGGGCACGTTCCCCGGCTCCCCCGGTGTCGGTTCCTGCAACGGTCTCACAGGTAGCGCGTCTACTTTCAGCCAGAGTTTCAAGACGTTTTTGAGGCAATACTGGGAAGCTCAAGTGACGACGTATGAACAGGGGTCAGGTTGGATCATGTGGACTTGGAAGACGGAACAAGCGGATGAGTGGTCGTATCAAGCAGGATTGGCGAACGGATGGATTCCGAGGGACCCGACGCAGAGACAGTTCCCTGGGATCTGTGGATGAAGTTCTTTTGATTCGAATGCGCTGCATGTTGTGATTGATGGAGGGTTGGGTATAGATTGTGATGGAATCTTGACTCAAGGACCTCGGAAAAAGGGGCTATTTTTGAGCTTTGTTTTCTTTTTTTTTCAAGTTTGATTCGATCCTTGGTATACTTATGCATTGGACTGAATTTTATTTTTTTCTTTTCAAGACGTTCCTTGTTCACGCTTCTGGGAACTCTTTGCTACAAAAAAAAAAGAAGTTTGGACATACGTATAATTACTAGTCACTCACCAGCAAGGACTCTGCATTGTGCATATGTATATACCTCTTGTTTGTCGTAACATACCCTCCTTTATTTCTCGTTACTTATAGCTTTTTTGTTTCTCCATAGTTACGATGCAATCAATGACATTCTGGACTTGTATCTTGGGATATGTATGCTTTAGTGTCGTACCCGCCAAAGGAACAAGTCCGGCTGATGGAGCCTGACGCCTTCGTTCAATCTGTGCAGGGTCTTGCTACTACATTGTATACTTATATGCCCTGATTTAGCGCGGCCTAATGGTCTAGTAGCATGATTCTCGCTTTGGGCTTGAGCCTTGATGCGAGAGGTCCTGGGTTCAATTCCCAGTTAGGCCCATGCAGGCTCGTTAGGAAGGTTTTTTTTTGATGAATGAAGTCTCTTTAAATGAGGTGTCCATTGTCATCTCTACATACGTCCAAACCCAGTAAAAGGATAATCTACAGGACTCGAGTCCCTTTGAACATGACTCTGGAAAATAGGGGAAGGTGTCTCCCAGCTTCTGCCCTCTCCAAATACAGCAAACTTACTCAACTGTAGATCCCTCTCCTCCTTCTCCTGTTCAACCCGGCGCATGTGTGACTTCCATGAACCAATATCAAGCGAAGACGAGGACACATGTGCTTTACTCAATGTCGTTTCCCTTTGAGTGGATCTAAATTCGTTGAATGAGTAGCGTCTAGTAGAGCAACTCGACAGTCCTCCAAAAGACGACGACGACATGTGAGCTAGAGCAAGAGGAGATTTTGCTTCCCAACTTCCACCCTCCTCGAGAACAGCCAAGCAATCGCCATGTCGGAGATCTCTCTGCTCCTTTTCCTCTTCTGCTTGACGCCAATGGAACTTCCAACTTGAACCAAAACCAAGAGTCGAAGCGGACAAATGACTCCACAAACTCCGAATGGAAGACGACGCTGACGATAAACTCCTCTGTAACCCTGCTGACGATAGGCTCCTTTGTAACCCCTTGGCCCCTTCAGAAGAAGATTCGTGCTTTTCTGCCGTCGACACTGCCGTCGACGTGCCGGCATTCCCACATTCGATGTCAGCGTCAGACACAACTTCGACGAGAGGGTCGGTGCCCGAATCACGGCGGCTACTGTTAGTGCCAGTCGTATTTGTCCTAATCCGTCCGATCATCATAATAGATCTTTGACTTCTCCGTCCGCTACCTCTCTGGCTAGAATACCACGTACAAGTACTTCCTCGTTCGCTATTGCCACCTGTCAGCTTAGCAAACAGCCAACTCAGACCGCACTTTTCTGAGTGCTGCTGTATCTTGCCTAGCCGACGTTGAGTGAAAAGTCGTTTGTTCCTGAAGACGAACAGCCAGAGCAGGAAACCAAGAACGAAAATGGCACTGATTGTAACGATAATGGCAATTTCTTGGTTTGGTTTTAGACCAGTGTAATGATCATTATCTTGAGACAACCCCCAGTCGCCAGAGCTTGTGGTGGGCACTGGATTTGTGGTGGAGGATTGTAATGTATTTGTGGTGGGGGATTGTGATGTAGAAAGACTCGGAGTCACTGTGAATGCGGAAGTAAATATGCCAGAGGAAACAGTCACCACGGTAAGGCTTATAAAAGTGGAAGAACTGTCAGATGTTGTCCCGGTAGGCTCCGGAGTGAGAGTGGGAGTTGTCGTGGTGGGTAATGTCACAGAAGTAGGGAAGATTCTGAGAGGTACTGTATGTCAATGATTTTAAACCAGCTTTCCATCTCTAAAATCTGCACTTACAAAATTACTGGCTTGGATGATATCGACTCAACACTTGTATTAAAGAGAGTTGGGATTATAGGAGGGGCAGAAGAGGTTTCACTGGTCAAGAAATGTTAATATGGTTCAATAATTTTCATGATACCAAAATGTTACTACCTTGTCTGAGTTATGTTAAGCGATGTTGTTGAAGTAGAGGATCTGAGCAAAGATGGTATATGTTAATAGTGGATATAATATTTCTACTATCCCAAAGTATTACCTTGTTGGAACAGATGTTGTGTTGAAAGTGGTGGTTCTGATCAAAATGTGACATGTCAATGAATCATGAATAATTAAACTTGATAGAAATTTTGTACTCACGGTATTGTAGATGTTGTAGTGTTGGTCCCACTAGCTGTAGTTGTCCCAATAGTTGCAGTTGTCCCATTAGTTGTAGTTGTCCCATTAGTTGTAGTTGTCCCACTAGTTGTAGTTGTCCCATTAGTTGTAGTTGTCCCATTAGTTGTAGTTGTCCCACTAGTTGTAGTTGTCCCGCTAGTTGTAGTTGTCCCACTGGTTGTAGCTGTCCCACTAGTTGTAGTTGTAGTGTTGGTCCCACTAGTGGTAGCTGTAGCATTGGTCCCACTAGTGGTAGCTGTAGCATTGGTCCCACTGGTGGTGGGTGTAGCATTGGTCCCACTGGTGGTGGGTGTAGCATTGGTCCCACTGGTGGTGGTTGTAGTGTTGGTCCCACTGGTGGTGGTTGTAGTGTTGGTCCCACTGGTGGTGGTTGTAGTGTTGGTCCCACTGGTGGTGGTTGTAGTGTTGGTCCCACTAGAAGTTAACCAGCAAATATAAGTTAACAATATATCTAATACCAGAGAACAGCTTACCTGCTTGAAATAGATGTGCTGGGCAACACAGTGAAAGAAGACCTGATTAAAGATGCAACATGTCAACAAATGATTAAATTTGATTAAAATTTGTACCTACAAAATTGTTGTCGATGTTGCATCTGTTGTGCTATTTACCATAGTCTGAGAAGACAAGGAATCTGTGTCAGCACCACTAAGAATTAATGAATTGGTACAAAAAGTTAGCGATACATATTACATCCCAACTATGCCAGTGATACCAGGGAATAGCTTACCTGCTTGACATAGATGTAGTGTTGGACAGAACAGTGGAAGAATACCTGATTAAATATAACATGTTAATGGATGATTAAACTTATTGAAAATTCATACTTACAGAATGGCTGTAGATGTTGCAGTCATTGTGTTATTTGCTGTAGTCTGAAGACTTGTGTCAGTCCCACTATTAAAAATTAACCAACTGTTATAGGTTAATATCATATCCCAATTACAACACTGGAAAATAATTTACCTCCTTGAATTAGATGTGAGGCTAGGCAACGTAGAAGATCTAATAGATTATATAACATTTTAGTGGATGATAAAAATGAATAGATATGTGGACTCACAAAGTTGTCATAGATGATATGCTATTTGCCACAGTCTGGGAAGACAAGATACCACTAGAAGTCGACCAATATGAGTTGAGTAATCATGCCGCAACTATAATACCAAAGAATAACATGCCTCGAAGCCTGAGTAGATGTTGTGTTGGAAGTGGAGTATCTAATTAAGTGACACATTAATAAACAATTGAAACCTTTAGTAATTTGAACTTACGGAAATGCAGCACTCATGCTATTCGCCGTTTCAATCCCACTGCAGCGTATTATAGATGTCAATGTGACCACTCTGATATCTTGAAGTAAATACAATACCTTGTTACAAATATCACAGTGTTAGATTCTGTGTTATTCAAAGAAGGTCTGAGAGATTCAACACATCAGCTCTGATAATATTGAGTACATGAGAAAACAGGTAGTACATGGATGTTGTATTAGTATCAGTATCAGGGGTTGCAGAAAAAGAGGATGATAGACTTGGCTGGGTAGAGATAGATGGACTCGCAGTGAAAGCTGATACAATATCACTAGACAATCCCCTGGGGAACAGAGCATAATCAGTGGGTAAACGGATCCCTAGATTAGGCATCTCCCACCACTCACGATGATTGCCCTATGGTCTGGCTAATAGGTGTTTCTCTGATAATTCCAAATTTGACGAAATCAGAATCAAGTTGACAATTTGACTAGGGACACACTCCTACCCCCCATCTCCAACTTGTAGGTCTATTGTTATAATATTCGAAAGTGGATCAGCTTCACTCTCGATGCTCCCCAGTTGAGGTAGATTCAATGACTCTGCAATGAGTGGCTCTGTTACTACTTCAGATACGTCCAAAGCAGTACCAAATACGGCAGAGGTATCACGACAATAAGCAGGCTTTGTCCATGAAGAAGACAGAATTAGAACAAGGAGGGAACTGAAAATCATTCAGGTTGGTGAATTGCGACCATAGCAGCTCCAAAACTCACTATTGGAATGAATGCGACCTGCCCGCCAGCGGTGCATTTTGTATTTGAGTTAGAAAAGAACGGAAATATCTGACAGGAAGTAGACAGGACTGAAGCATATCTAGAAGGTGGGGGACCAGATGCCCGCGCAGTATGTGATGAAAGTTCTACGAATTATAAGGAATGTTGTGGTGAGAGAATCTGATGCATCATGCAGTGCATTGCTATCTAGTAATACAGACGGTTACAATCAGATGCAATCCTTGTACTCAGTCAGACTCGAAGGATTGAGCTGCTGAAACATACGAATAAGGGAGATGTTTCGCACAAATTCGACTGATCTTGAGTTTGTTGTAATATTCCACGCGTCCCGACCCACAAACACCTACTTACTTTCGTTCGAACACCACAAATGGTCTCGTGAAAGTGAGGGACCCGAAGCAAAGAACCGGTGTACGTCAGATCAAAAGTGCGAATCGAGGAAAGATGATCACGTTCAATCAGAACCCTCAAACATCACCGTATAATCGCCTTCAGGGCCAAAGTCTAGACTGATTGTGGGTTTTTGAACAAGTAATTCCGCCTAATCAGGATAATTATTCATAAAATCATGAAATTTGTCCGAACAAGAGTCGAGTCGCAGGCTCTAAGTAGTGTGCCTGTGGTGCTTAGCCTTCGAGATATTTTCCCTTGCGGAAACCAAATCAGGATCAAGGCCAGACTCTGTGAAGCATCAATTTGAAATGAGCCACTATATGTTGTAAGGAAGATTCTTAGCCAGATGGCAACGATGAGGTTAGTGAGGTACGATATTATATTTGTGCGGTATTCCCATACTCGCGCATGAAATCTACGATATGTCTAGCGCTCGGTCTACTGACAGCTTCCTGCGCCCAACATCTCTCTATCAAAGTCCAAAGTGTGTCTGTACACCACGGATTACCTTCAGGACGCTGCGGACGCTCCCCCCTCACAACAGCCGTCATCACAGCAACGTCGGTCAGCCGTCCCACTGGTTGTAGCTGTCCCACTAGTTGTAGTTGTAGTGTTGGTCCCACTAGTGGTAGCTGTAGCATTGGTCCCACTAGTGGTAGCTGTAGCATTGGTCCCACTGGTGGTGGGTGTAGCATTGGTCCCACTGGTGGTGGGTGTAGGGTTGGTCCCACTGGTGGTGGTTGTAGTGTTGGTCCCACTGGTGGTGGTTGTAGT